TATATATATATATATATATATATATATATATATATATATATATATATATATATATATATATATATATATATATATATATATATATATATATATATATATGCCATCACCCACAACTTGAACGCGCAAATTAGCGCCGCCTTCCATACAATTCTAAACATCCACTGACCTGACTACGTGACCTCGAATATGCATCTCTTCGCTTTGCTGAGACTGCTTTTCAAATGTAGTGGACTCATTGGATTCGGAAATCTGTTCTGACAGATCGCTAAATATTAACCACTACCTGTTTCTACCTCAAGGTGGGCTGTGGAAATGCTTTGGAGCTTCGTTTCCATACGACCACTAAGATGTTGCTGACGAGAAAATTGCGTTTTATTGAAGAAATCCTCGTTATTTTGGTGGTTGACAACGAAGTACGGTTGTGCAGAAGGCTTGTTAAAATCTGAATATTTATTCTTTAGGTAATAAATAGGTACCAGCAAAAGAGTAATAGTTGATCACTAAAGAGTCCTTATAGACATTATTTCCAGGGATTTTCAGAGCGCGTTGTAATCGAGGAGCGGTAATGACGGAACTGACTTCAAGTGATTGACTCCTATATAGTGAGAGTAGTTAACATGTATGTACTTTTTCATTAAGTACATACTACTGTTTGATGAACCAGAAGAAGGTTATAATAGGGGGAGTTTTGTTAGTTACAGTAATTCGACGTGGGAAAATGAGCTTGGTTAATATATTGAGACATCTTCAAACGCGGAACGCTGCCGGCATTACAAAAGACTTCTATGTTTACAATCTAGACATTGCCGCTAAAATAAAATAGCAAATCAACAGCAGATAATTAGAGAGTTTAAACATTGCAAATAAATTTACATACCAATTTGAGAGATGAAAGTTGGATAGATGATTTATTTAGGAGCGAAACATTTACGCTGTTATTATTATTTCCGTGTAATGAATTAATCATTTAAAAAATATTCAAATTAAACAACTTTTATAGACCATATCCCTACTACTATAAACGGATATGGTTTATACAAGTTGTTCGAGATATCTGCATTATAAAACCTTTGATTTGATAAAAATACTTCGGGCTTTCTCGATAGCGCAGCCATTTGTCGTACACAATCCGCTTTTTATTGCACACTGCGATCAGCAAATAGCTCGCTGTTGTTATGCACAAT